CATTGGTGATGTTTCCGCCAGAGGCGCTCCGGTCTGAAAAAAAAATTCAGAAAAAAATCGCCGCGAATTTTTTCCACCTTAGTTTCGTAGACAAAACATACAGCCTCACCGAGCATGCACCACGAGCTGATAGCTTCAGCATTCGACCTGAACCGGAATAATTCACCCCTATATAATCGGCCGATGTTAGTCTTATCTCACACTTTTTGCGAGCTGATTTCAATTTTTTCTTGCCCTTTTTTTCTATATTTCTCGACTCTCAAATTTCCTAGAAAACATTATACTTCGCAATAAACCCTCGTTAATCTACCGGGAAATTCCGTAAAATTTTCCGCGATTTTCCGGAAAATTTTCCCATAATTTACCTGTTCCGAATCACTTTCTCAGGCGTCAGCGCCTTCCCGTCAACATCCTTCTCCTCCGATCCAACAAGTTGGCACGCACCCAACAGAAATGGGCTGAAAACACATCTTTGCGCACCCAGAAGCCTATATGCGTGAAAACGTCACTAATCCGGAATAATTTACCCACATATGATGATAATCGTCCAAACCCCAAACACCATGCGACCCCGCCGGCTCCAACATGTACTGCTTCTGAATTCGTCGCATCAATGCTATGTATCTACAGGACACACACAAAAATTTCCGAGAAAAAACGTAATTATTTCGTGGCGCGCGGTAATTTCGCCCCCCACCTCGGGAAAATCCTTAGTCCGATTTCTTCTCCCAAGACGTCTTCTTCACCTTCCCCACAATCATCGAAGTAGCCTATGGCTGCCAACACCTGCAGAAGGCGGAGCGAAGCGTTTCATGTTCATCATTTTTCGATAGCTCACAGTACCATAAGGAAAGCCATAAAGGCTGTCTCGTGACCTGTTCCAAAATCGACCCGAGTCGGGTTGCCGAAGGAATCCAAACTAATAAAGAAAAAAAAACAAAAAATATTATTTTTTTTCATAAAAAACCCGACAGAAAGTAGATTTTTATCGCAATTTTCATACCTGTATATATATGGAATATATATTCGCTTTCCTCAGCTGAGAGTAAAAGTTTTCTCACTCACTATAGGAGTTTATAAAAAAATTTTATTTTTTCCTCAAAATTTTCATGTGGTCACCGACACATGTAGTTGACCATGTGCATATTTTCCCCCACCGTCTATGAAAAAAAACTCTTAAAAAAGGGAAAAAATTTTTCCACAAAAAAATTTTTTACTCACATATATGGCGTTAACTCGATAACTGCCGGCTGCAACTCGGGTCCCAAAATTCTGTCAAATATTTTCGGTAATCGATCAACCAATCGATTATGCCAAGATCTGACAACAAAAAAAATCAGTGGGGAAAAATTTTTCCGCAAAGAAAGCAAAAAATTTTTTTCTTGAGAAAAATTTCGGTGGAGAATTCTCCCGACTATAATTCGATTCGCATCAGCGTATCCGAAAAATTTTATGATTTTTTTTCGTAATTTTTCCGAAAATTTTTTACCGAAAAGCGATATTTCCGAATCGCATAGGTTGCTGTAGTGGGGGAATGTCCTTCAGCCAAGTTTCCAATTCTCCTATAAAATTCATAACCCCTCCGATTGACCGCGGCGCCGTAGTATAATCAACAATCTGAAAACTGATATGATAAATCTGTTGCACGCATGCACATCACACATCGAGAATTTTCTTTCCTTGTACAGCCGTACACAGCCTTTCTAAGAAAGCAGCGATGTCGCGGTAGGCCTGAGGTGCAAATCTCAGCGAGGACATTTTTTAGCTCAGAAAAATTCCTCGGAAATTTCTGAGAATTTTTTCACTACCCTCATACTAACAAAAATATAATGAATTTTTCAAAATTCTACCAATCGATCGATCCAGGTTTAAATTCTACGCTGAAATTACCATTTTTCCAACCCAAAAAAATTCACAAAATTTCCGAGAATTTTTACTACATCAAAGAAAAACCAAAAATATAAATGAATTTTCAAGTTTTTCTTCGCTATCGGGCAATCCAGGTTCGAATTCTAAGCAGAAAATTCTATTTTTATTCCTATTTCTATTTTTTCTATTCTAAATTACCATTTTTGCAACCGAAAAAATCACAAGAACTTCTTAAACTTTTTACTACCATCAAACTAACAAAAAATAAAATCAAATTTTCGATTTTTTTCCAATTTACCGATCCAGGTTCAAATCACTACCGGTGAATTCTCCACGAAATACGACAATTCCTTCGGGCCTGTTATCCGTTTCACAGGCTCCACGTACCTTTTAAAGAAAACTACGATGCACGCATGCACAACTATAGTAAATTCCGACTTGAAAAATAGGAGGGCAGGAAAATCAGACAAATATTTTTATATTTTCGAGTGAAAAAAACGCAAAATTTTCACTCATCAAGGAAGTATACAAAATTTATTACCGAAAAAATTCCAGGGAATTTAGTAATGAGATCGTTATGACCTCAAGCCTGTCCCTTTCCCACTACTACCGCGCCCGACGTTCTCCACTTTTCCTATCTGCAGTCAGCTCAGCGACGTAGGCGGACATTCTGTCACACTGAAGGTCCCCGGTTCCATCCCCCCACACTGCAATTCAATAACTTCCTCTTCGTGAGACATATATATACATCAGTACGTTGGTAAATCGATCAACCGTTTCACAATTTCAAAATGGGAAAGTAAATAATAACTACAATA